CATGCAAGATAAAAGAACTATTATTTCAACTATGGGGTCATCTTTGTCTTTGTCTTCTCCAACGTCGATCTGAAACAGATACGGTGGTAATAGATTAATAATGAGCAATTAAAATTAACTGTATCAAGTTTCTCACCTTAATTAACTGCAGACTGCAACAGTTTGCAGGTGTGAAGAGCAAACTAAATCCAGGAGAAGCACCATAGCAGAAATTTCGTTGTTCCATTTGAAATCAAATAGATCCTTAGTTGAAAATCAACTGCATAGTGTGGAGAAGTGAAGATGAAAATATCAAATCAGGAACAAAGTCCAGAAAAGACCACACCCATGTAGACAGTTGTTCGAGTAGCGCCAAATTGAACTCATTTGTTGGGCAATCTGCAGAAAGGGCAAAAAAATATATTAATTACACTATTCATTAAGGAAGGAACTAAACACTCCTAAAAATAAACAACATAAAGCAAGTAAAATAGCTGAATTATAATAAAATGACTACAACTGTCATTTTACATCATAACAAATAACTTATAAGATCAATATAGAGCACCTAATATTATAAACGGCATGCATTCTCACCTTAATTAACTGCAGAAAGTAGCTTCCTAAGGTCCACAGGTAGAATGAACAAGCCAAATCCAGAAGGAATACCACTGCAGACAAGTTGTTGTTTCAGTCGTTTCCAAAGTAATTTTCAAATGCCTCTCCCTCTCAGGTTCAAAATTATGTTGCAAGGGCAAGACGTTAAAAGCATCGACTCTTTCAGTACCATCAGAATTAGCTGTAATTTCTTCTCACTTGGACAATCTATAGAAACGGGCAAGAAAACGTGGTTAATTACAACTTTTAAAGCAAGTAAATCAGTAATATTTTAATGTAGTGATTTGGAGTTAAAGTTAGAAGCTAACTTTCGCACTAATAAAAAGACCAGTTCCACATTTTACTTCTGCTACTTAAGAAACGTTGTTTAAAAATTGTTTGATGAAAATAAGTTACAAATGCCTAAGAAATTGAAGTTTCTGGGACCAGGATTAATATTTTTAATGGATATGGTTTACTTACCAGTTCGTTCGTCATAAATCTTTCCTTCAGCAATGCCACACTGCATCCGTTCCCAATCGAGAAAAGGCACTTTTGTTAGGACAGCTACTTTCTGAACCGAATGAACACTGACACAACCAAGGCAATGCTATCCAGGTTTTTTAACGTTCCTATGAAATGAAATCTTATGAGTATTCAGATATAATTAATTTAGCCTCTTTAGTAAATAATAAGCATGACACAATACTAAAGTTAATTTCAAATAAATTTACTAATTTGATTTTTTCAGAAAACATTTAGATAAACTGAAATATTGTAATACATACAATTCTAACAAAACAGCGGGTGGTTCGACATTCTATTAACAAAAGAAGTAATATGCTTCTTTCTTAGCGTTTGCTGTGAGTATAAAATCACATGGTTTTCTTAATGACCGGGTTTTGTAAAGCAGACAACCTATTGGATTTTAGTCAATTTTTGACGTTTCGGCTCCTTAATAAATAAAAAATAAAAACAACATTTACATTGTTGAGTTAAAATGAAACAGAGTTTTTGTACAAATTAAATTAAAAATGAACTACGGTTTTAGGTCGTAAAACCTAAGGTTGTAGCCCACAAAAAATTGACAATCAATGACTAAACTGATAACTGCAAATGCAAACCTACACAAATACAATTGCCAATTTTGGTACCGCGATGCCTGAAAAGGAGTGACTGCTTTGATTTTAGGCTTTTGAAACCCAAAATAAAAGCTCTGGGTGCAAAGCTGGCGTAAAGTCAGCAACAAAGGATGGAAAATTGGTACTGATTTGATTGAGATTCCCTCGACTATTGCTGGTCAAGGGAGGACTACTACGGTTTTAGGTCGTGAAACCTAAGGTTGTAGCCCTAAAACAATTGTCAATTGACCGAAGTCAATGACTAAGATGACAACTGCAAATGCAAATCTACAGAAATGCAGTTGTCAAATTTTAGTCTCAGGATGCCTGAAAAACCTATTGCAACTGTCACCGTGTTGGTCTCGCGATACCTAAACTAATTACTGAAATATGTCAATGCTGACTTCATGCTAACCAAATGATGAAGATATTTATACAAATATATTCGTACGCAGTGGTGTTGTCCAGCCGGAACGCTCCGGAACGTCGTTCCGGTACTTCCTTTTTGGACAGGAACGCGTTCCGGAACTAAAGATGATTTCTGATAACGAGAATTGGCTGATGTATTGAAAAAAAAAATTAAAAAGAATTGCTGATTTTTTTTTCTAATTTTTGACGAATTTTTATATGTATTATTATAAACAAAGGTTTGAACCGAACCCGAACCGGAACAAAAACCGGAACGAACCGGCTTGTTTTTCCGAACCGTGAACAGGGCCGATCCTGGCGACGGGCGAAAATTGGGGGAAATCCCCCCCCCTTCCGTCGTCGTCAAATTTGGGACATGAGACCGCACAGAGCGGCCGCCTACCCAGGGTCGGCCCTGTCTATATAATTATATATACGCGTTCCGGTAAAAAAAAATTAGCACAACACCACTGTTCATAGGTACGATATGTTTTGGAAATATTGTAATAAACATATACATTATACGTATTCGAACGATAAAATTATGTAAATATTACTTTCAATTTTGTTATTCAAATTTTCAATTTATGTACTTACTGTTTGTTTTAAGTACGCAATTTATTACTCCTGTAAATAGGTACAAAACATGCCATTTATCTAATTAAAGATATTCAAATATTTTTTTAATCATTAAAGTTATTTACCAGTTGGACCTAAATACAGAACCTATTGCATGCAGCTTTTATTACAAAATTTCCAAATAATTTTCAATCAACGTAAATTCAATCTGTCATCTTTATATTTACGTCGAAGTCAATTGATAAAATTGGTATATTTAAGTGTGTTATAAGAAAAAAAATCATGTTCAATCCTGTTAATTGTTAAATTGAAGTTGTATCTTATGCACATTTGTTATTATATTTATATTACTTGTGTAAAAGAGCTTTTAACTTGTTAAAGTACTTTAAATAAATTATGTATTAATAGATTGATAGAAAAAATCTTTTCGTGTCGATAAAGGACAGTATTTACTCATCATCATTTTACGCAAAGGGTACGTTTAACCCAGAAAACTAGAAACTTTAGTTTTATCCTAATGATCCTGGTCAACAAACAAATTATTGTATTTTCGATGATTTTTTGACTCGTATTTGGAAGAACAACGTAAGCGAAGCCGCTGGTAAAAACTAGTTAGATATTAAAATAAAATTTTCAACTTATCTTTTTCATGTTGTGGTTATCGAAAATTTTCTTATTCGCAAAGAAGTCCTCCAATTCCAACCGTTTTCTTTGCAAAACATTTGGTAAATGCCGAGGAGATGTTGGTTAGGCTTGGTTCGCTATATTTTTTCTGAAAAATAGATAGAAAAAATCGGTAAATTGTTAGTCCGTTTTAATTATAAACCGATAAATAACAATCCTGCTGTGTTAACTGTACTTTTTGTGTCACTTAAAAAGCCATACTTTTTTTACATAATGCTCCACAGAAATTAAGTTGTTAATAAAAGCCAAACGACGACAATTGTTTGAGTTTTATATAATTATGTTAAACACTTATTACAATTGAAATCAATAATTCACATGAGCCATCGATAAGATTACCCAATCTTTTCTTATTAAGCCTGATCCTCACTATCTTTACAAACGACGGGCAGCCGCCGCATGCCAGATGCTGATCAGTTATGTCTTGTATTCTCATTAAACAACTATGACCGTCAGTCTTTCGGTAATTTTTTTAATGGTTAGCACGTTTTTACTAATCTAACAGTAATTACTCTTTTACTGGAATAATAAGATGGGGAGGTGGAAAAGTTAAGGAAAACAAGAAAAACGAGAAAATAAAATCTATGTTTTCTCATCAACATTATTGTCACTTAATTTAAATTGTATAAACACTCGTAATTTTGTACGAAAACAATTAATTTTTCGTCCTTTTTGCTTTAATAAAAGGTACTAGGTATTGACAAATTGAATGTATTCTCATTATCTAGCAATGACCGTCAGTTTTTCGGCAATTTTTTGAATGATTAGCACGTTTTCGTAGCGATATTTAAAAAATACTCTCATACTAATCTAGCAGTAATTACTCTTTTACTGGAAGAAGAAGATGGGGAGATGGGAAAGAAAAGGAAAACAAGAAAACTGGGAAAAAAAACGTCTGTCGTATTTTTTCATTTACATTATTGTCATTATAATCTTTTTAGTTTAAATTGTACAAACACTCGTAATTTTGTACGAAAACAGTTAATTTTTCGTCCTTTTTGCTTAATAAAAGGTATTTTCATATATTCAAAATGCTTACAATAGTGTTGTTAGTATTATTAAACGATATCATTATGTATACTTATTATTTCAGTTACAACATAATACAATAATTGCAATACAAACAAATTATTTTATCAGGAAAGAAATTTGCTGATTAAAATTAATAATAATTATTTATTTACGCAAAACAAATAAATGAAAAAAATTTAAAAAAAATCAGCAAAAGAATTCGTTAATATCTGTTCTGGTTGCACAAAAAAACATAATAAGTTGCAAACTTAGTTTAAACGAATTTGCTCAAGAATAACCCTTGAATCAAACTTTAAATCCTTATTGTGGATTGATACATATGCCCGCTACAATGTTCTACTTTTTATAAATTTTACTGCATCCTCATCTAAGAATAATAATTATATTTGGGAACGCTCAATCTAATGTAACTGTCACCATTCTGAATAATATTTTCTGATTTACACACCTTATTGTGTACATAATTAATTCTACCTTATGGGGGCTCAATGAGGCAAATCCGTTTGAAAATATTCTCGGTAAAATGAAAAAGAAAGAAAATGGTAACAATCCCCTTGCCCAAATTTTACAAATGAGTAATATATGTGGTATATATTCCTCCAAATGAAAATATAAATTGTATTGAAATTTGTGGAAAACTACTATGTAAAAGAAAACTCTTTATACGTATCCATGCGATGCTAAATATTTAGAAATGTACCTATAGTTTCTGCAAACAATGAAAATATTACTGCATGTAAAATCATAGATGTTGATAAAAAAATGGTTTATCTTAATGTTAGTGACGAAAGTAAAGAAATAATATGGTTTATACCGTTGGTACATATGTAAAACTGAACAGTTTCTCATTGGTAAAATATATTTCTTATTTAATTTTGTATTTTTTTCATTAATAATGATGTTCATTTTTCCAAAAATTATTAATGGGTAGCAATTTTTCCCGGCGGGGGCCACATGCGGCATTTCTGATAATGCACAAATGCGGCAAGGCGTTACATGCCCCTTCCTTGCCCTAGGGGGCAAACTCATGAAGCCCGCAAGGGGTAGTGGGCTACCCATTTAGGGGCCCTACATTGCTACCCCCCTCAAAATTCTAATCGGGTTATCGAATTATTTAATAAAGCGCCTTAGTTAATTATAAATTTTAAACACTTATTAAATTCATATATGCCCGCCATAATTTTCTGTTTCCTATCATTTTATAAACTTATAAACATCTAAAAGTCTATGAACGGTAAATCGTAAACGTTACAATGTTTGCCATTTTGAATGTTTTTTGATAATATAAATTTTACCATCATTTTAATACAGAAGAAATACATATCTGTACAATTGCACAGTCAAAAATTTTATAAAAAAAAATCGGTTGTCTGTAAAGTCGGTTTACTGACGATAGTTGAACGTGATAACGTCATAAGAAAATACTGATGGAATGGTTTCATTTTTCAAAAGAAAATTTTAATTTTATTTGTTTGATAGATATTTTGTATGGATATAGAGAAGGAGGTAAATGGAAATGTATTATTGTATAGCAGCTGTCCACGCGGACGCATNTAAATTATGCATGAATTTCTTTACGTGAGACGAATTTCCGGTCGATTGAAACATTCTTCAAAGATTTCGTTGCAAAATTAAAATCTTATACAAGAGAAACTATTAAAGACAGTTCTTTTAAAAAACTGGGGATGAATATTCATTATTTTTTTGGACAAACAAAATAGGGGTCGGCCATGCATGTGTTAAGGTAACACATTTTCAGTAATGTTGGTGCCCCTCGCTGATGTCAATGTAAGATAATGTTGAAAAAAATGCATAAGATACATTTGCTTATAATTACGTATAGGTATGTAAATTAAGAAAAAATCAATTTCAAGGGTATTTCCGATTATAAAATTTTCTGCCCTTTGCATTGGTGGGGTCAAAAATACGCATTCCCATTAAAAGAAATTAAATGATCTTTTAATTATCTTGATGGTTACCAATTGTATGTCCTTTTGAAAACATTTTGTTTTGTCAATAAAGGTATTTGGGATATTTCGTTGTTCTTTCAATTCAATTTTAATTTTTCGATTACAAAATTTACAATATGTATTCCCATTTAAAAAAAAGTGATTTGACCTGCAAATGACATTGAAGGTTAATATCAACGTCACATTAAAGGTGACCAGCTGATTTTACCTTCGAAAGCACACACCTTTTGTCTAACACTTCTTCTAAAATATAAGATGTAATCAGAATAAGTATATTATTGTCTCAAGATACATAACTCGCCTTGTATTAATTGGTTGACTGGTGGATATTTATAAAAATACAAAAACATGTTAGTAATATTATCTATAAAAGAAATTATAAGCGCCGTCAGCACAGGGCAAAGTGGTATTACCTAGTTAGTATCAGCAATTTTTTATGCTGAAGGGTACGATATATTGCATATTTGTTTACAAACAATCCCTTTAAACTTTAATCATTGATTACTATACATCTATTAAAAAACCATAATGGCCGACATCAGTAACAATGCGACAACAATTGAAAAAGAATGATGGCCGACAACTGCAATAATTAGAAATAATAATGGCCGATACTACGTCATAGTGGAGCAATAAAAATGGCCGGAGGCAGGGGGAAGAATTAGTATAACTAATATTATAAATGCCAATGTGAGTATGTTTGTTTGTTGGCTTTTAACTCCTTAACTACTCAACCGATCATCATGAAATTTTATACATACATTGTCAGGGGTACAGAAAAGGACACAGAGTACTTTTTATCAAGAAAAAATAATACTGTTCCCGAAGGATAGAGAAATTAGTTTTATGTGGTCGTCGATGATTTTTGACATGTATTTAGGACATCAACGCTAGAGAAGCCGCGAGTAAAGTCTAGTACAATATAAAATTAAATTTATTACTTAAAGAAAAGATGTGTGTATATAACATTTATATATGTATGTATAGATACATTTTGGACTCGATGTGTTCAGATGATAGGTGGATGATTTAATTAATAACACGTGAAAACGGTAAAGTATTTAATTTTACAGAAAATGAAATGAAGACTAGAAATGTAGAAGTAGAAGTTGAAGTTAGGAAGCACAGGTCAGAACTGATTTTAGTTTTCGAAAAGAGATTGTAGAAAGGGTGATAAGGAGGAGTTAGAAATAAGTGATTAAAGTAGGGAACCAATAAGTTGCTAGTGAAATCTGGAAATGACGATTAGAAGAAATACCAAGAAGTTAAGTTTGAACTGAAATAACCGAAGAGACCCATCATAAAATAGCAATTAGGAAAAGTAAGGATTATAGATGTCATGCAGTTAGTATACAAGGGTTGAAATGTTATTAAGAGATTATAGGAAAGTACGAAGGCAATTAAATAGTCGTTAAAGCGAGCAGGTAAATAGTAAGTATAGAAATAGAATTATAAGGGAAGAATATTTACACAACAATAATATAACACACAATGAAATTTACAATGATAACAATACACAAAGATATTTACAAAAATTCCAAACACACAAATACAGTTTTCACAGACATCAACAAATATACAAACATACACTCAACACTTCACTTTAAAAAATAATAATTGTTTCTATAAAAAATTATAAAATCGCCACAACATAAATGGAACAAATAAATATGTATAATAATTTAAAACAACTTTTTAATATTCAAAAAAACAGTTCTTTTTAAAAATTGATTGAAAGCTAATCATTTTTAAATCGAATTTAGAGTAAAGACTTTAGATACAAATAATTGATTAAAATTTTAATTTTACAATAAAATTGCGCTCTTTTTATCTTGGCGTAGCAACTAAAACATGGTCTGGGTAACTCGTAGAAAATTTTAAACCAACTTCACTCATAAAAATTCTACTTATAATACGTAATAATCTGGTTTAAACAATCAACTTTTATCCTTAAGTAAAAAATCTGTTATCAGTGGGGTTTGCGTTGATTTAAATAGATAAAACAATGAAAACGCAAAAAGGTAAAATTACATTTTTATTATTATTAGATTTTCTCTGATTACATTGAAAAGCCCTCTTAATATAT